CACTTAAGCGAGGCCCTTAAGCGAGGCCCTTAAGTAAGCCTTGATTAAGGCACCTGATTGAGGCTATTAAAAGAAGCCCCTAGATCCTTTAAGCGAGGCCTTTAAGCGAGGCCCTTGAGTAAGGCACATAAAGTGAGGCCCTCTGGATAAGGCCCTTAAGTGAGGCCCTTGGGGGAGGCCCTTAAATAAGGCCCTTGAATAAGCCCTTAAAAGAAGCCCCTAAATCCCTTAAATCAGGCCTCCAAGTAAGGCCCTTAAGTAAAGCCTTTAAGTAAGTCTCTTAAATAAAGCCCTTGCGTGAGGTCCTTTCTTAAGAAAGCTAAGCTAACCCGATTTGCCCGCCTCATTCATCGCCCGTTATCAGCTGCTCACCTACCCATTCAGGCCTAGCGCCGCAGCCACGTATATCAATCTCTTAAGCTTCCTAATCCTTATTCCTCACCGGTATTCTAAGGTAAAGATGTATTCATCAGTTCCGGTTCGTTATATCAGCAGCCTTAAGACTATGAAATGGAATGTCGCTGGTTGCAATATGCCGATAAAGGGGTCCGAAGTGGTGTAAAAGCAGCTATGCTTATTTATAGCTGCTGTTCGCGAGGTGGCTTTTCGGAGGTGATTTGCTTGCGATAAAGCTAATCATACCCGAGCCAAAGGTCTTTGTAAGCTGGTAAATGGAATATGTAAATCAATACAAGTGAGATGTAGCGCGTAAAGCTTAGCTAGTAACGATGGCTGAGGATACTATTTGAACGAGATCTATTGCTACGCTTTAAAGACTTGCCTTGTCCTTTTTGGAAAATGAAAGGTGAATAGTAGAAAAAGAGATGCAAGAAGCTGAAAGATGAAAGTTAATGAACGAGAGATGAAAAGGGGAATAAGAAGAAGAAAAAGGTAAACGATGAAAAGGAAAAAAAGATATGAAAGGAACAAAAAGAAGAAAGTGGGAAAAGATTTATAAATACCTATCCTTGATCCGCACGCAAGGACTAGTATGCTTTACTCATTTCCCATAACCTCTTCATTCTCGTCTTACGCAATGTCTTCTCTATCATCTACCCAGGATCCCATCATCACTATTGCTACTGCCACCCTCTGCCGCCATTGCCAATCCACCGCCCAAATGCTCACGACCCAGGCGCTCATCCTCGACCTGCACGATCCGCAAAGGCTCACTACGGCTTGTGAGGTGCGCTGGGTCGGCGCGAAGGCCAAATCGAGCGCGGCCATCGACTTCCTTCGCACGTGGATCATCGAGCACGAGATCCACTCTTCGAAAGATTTAGAAGCGCACTTGGAAGAGAACGAAGACGAGAAGAGGACGCTGGCAAGAGGGATTCTAAGCGTGGAAAGCTTGGCAGCGTTCGGAGAGGTTGCGGTGAGAGATGAGCGGACGCCGAAGAAAGGCGTCGCAAAGGGACAGATATTGGATCTGGAAAGCTGGGTCTTGATGAAGTGCGTGGCGAGGTGTACGAAGGCGGTGCTGCAAGATGTGTGGAGAGAGCATGAGGGGCATAAGGCAGAGGATGATGGGGAAAAGATGGTAGAGGATGAGAGAGAAGAGGAGAGCCGTGAGGAACAGGATCCAAGTGCAAGTGCGGATGCGTGGATGCAGCCGCCATCTTCGTCGTCGCAACGGACGGCTAGCCCGAAACCGACCTTGGGATCACCGTCCGATGCGCTGATGGAGTTGCCAGGCCAGTTCCAAGAGTCTCGCGATGATGGATCTGGCTCCAGCTCAGACTCGGGCTTTTTCGCGAGCCCGGTGGCACATCAGCGACGGAGCTCTTTTTCGGCGGCCTATCGGACAGAAAGAGGGTCGCATCTGTCGCCGGATCAGCTTGCTGGACTCGCAGCCGCGATTAAAAAGAAACGCGCCGAGTTCGATAGCGTCCTGACTGCAGGCGAACGGCTGGAGAAAGAAGTCCGGAAGCAGGAGATCGCGGTCCAGAAGCAAGAGATAGAGATTGAAAAACAGCAAGAGGAGATCACAAAGCAGGCAAAGCGGCTCTCGTGTCTCAAGAAAGCGGTAGCCGAAGAAGAAGCGCGCTTGAACCGTATCAGCGAGCGAATCCCGATAGCGCAGAAGGTCATCACCTCAGCCGAGGAGGTGGTTACGGAATGGAAAGTGCAAGTAGGAGATATAAGGAAGAGATTATGGCGATGGTGGAAAGTATTGAATTGTGCGGTTGTCAAAGCGGAGATGGTGTTGAAGAAGCCTTCCGGTGATAGCAAGGGTGGTAAAGCAGAGGATGAGGATAGGGACGAGGGCAAGGATGAGGGTACGAGGTTAGGATTGGAAGGGTTGTTTGAAGAAAGGGTTAGGTTTGAAGAGGAAGTGGAGCTCTTAACAACATCGGTTAAGGAGCGGATGAAGGGGTTTGCTCGAGCTGTTCGGGGGTTGAATAAGGAGTAAATATTGGATTATGTTGTTACTGTATTCATTGAACGTCGGGCGTGTCGTGGGCTTGGTCACGTGAGGGGTCAGAGCACAGACCAGGTAGTTGGGGAGTCACCTCCTTCGAGAGCTTCCCTCAGCCTGCCGCCCTGGGACCTCCTATATAATCAGCGCGAATAATGAATCCAAGTCAGAGCTTAGAATATCTAAATCAAGAGACAAGAAAATCAAGAGGCCTGCGTCAGATGTATCCCATCTAATAGCTTTAATGTTATCGACCTTTTCTGTATTGCTTCTCGAAGACATCTTCTTTAATATATTCAAGGCTCGTCATGGCGCATATGTCCAGTTCTTCTCCTCCTTCCACCGAATGCTCCTTGTTATCTTTATTCAGCATTGTTGTGCATGAAGGGACGGCTTTACTATGCATGCTCGCAACTTTTTCGTTGCTTGCTTGCGCGGCGGCTTTTCTAACATCTGGCATGCGACATGGTCGGTGCCAAGTATCAGACTCAGACCCTCGAGTCCGTTCAAGCATACAGCGAAACAGAACATGAGGTCTGAAGATAAGCTTCAGCCTCAGGCTATAAAAGCGTCAAATGATAGTAAGCCGGCAATACTCGCCCGAGACACTTACTTTCGTCCTTGTAAAATCGAGATCAAATCTACCACCGATCACATCGTAATTGTATGCGCGAGAAAAGATGCACCGTATCGGACCTTACATAGCTCAACCAGAACAATTTTAATTACGCGTAATTATTGCACGTTAGTGCTAGATCAAAGTATTGAAAACCGTTGCTGCGGCAGATCGGAACCACCGCAGCGATCCCGCAGCTCGAGGTTGTGACTTTTGCCCTGATAAATTCGATTTAAAAACAACTACTAATCATATCGTAATTATCTTGGTATGCAAAGACGCATTATGTTGAGCTTAATATTAACTAATTAATACACTTATCATTATATTTTATCGTTTCTATTATTGTGCTGTAATCAAATAACAAAAATGTCCGTGTTTACACTCTCCAAAGAGGACGCGGGCTACAACCTTCGATGCCTTAAGAAGCTGTCGGTAAGATGCAGGATCAAGGCCTTGATCAGATTGGGCTATAAGTATTACAGTGGTGCGTTGAACTTCCCAAAACTGAGAGTCCTTAGCAGCGATCGATTGCTTGGAAGTCATTTGCTCCACCCGCCATCCCTAATAGCTAAACGACTGAAATCAAAGGTGAAAATGTCGATGTATTAGCTAGAAGATAGAAACTATCAGAAAAAGAGGTGAGTCTTCAACTACCTGGTCCGTGCTTCAACCCCTTTCACGTGGCCTAGCCCCACGATACTGGCCATACTTCATGTACCGGTATTCAGAATGGCCCGAGTTCAGAGCGTCAGGCTTCTGTGACTTCTTCTCAGCTGCTTCAGATCCAGAAGCTTGCTAGCTAGCTGTCATCATACCAATCTAAGCTCAAGAGCCCCTATCAGCCAAAAACTCATACGCTTCACCTTTCTTCTCTTTTCTAAGCCATCGAGTTTAAAGATAGACGGAACTTTTGGTGCAGTTTAGGGAGATATAGGTCTGTGCGCTGACTAAGCGAAGTCAACCCCTTCTCGAATTGGGATCGACTTCGGAGCCGATGGAGAAGGAAGCGATAAAGAATTAATAGCTTCATATCATAGCGATCTGGAGGTGAAAGGTAACGCTGATACGAGTTCAGGAGCGAAAGAAGGTCCGATGGATTGTGATAATTATTAATGCCTCGCCGAGCTCCCTTAAAGTCGGGAAAGGAATATCAAGGTCTGGACTTGGACTGCGCATAATCTTCTTGTTTCCGTATTATCGATCCTATCCCTCGGGCCTCTTCACATGGCCTGGCCCTGCGACACAGGGCGAGAAGCGCTTGCTCCGCTATCCACCCGCGAGACGCAAATCAACACTACTACTACTGGTATTAATTCTATGATAATTATCAATTTTTGTATTTTTTACTACCATCACTCTTCTTGATGAGAGAAATCTATGTACCCTCCTAGCGCGCACGTCGCTTAGGAGGCCTGATGGCCTCAGACCATTACACCCCCTTATGAATAACTGAAGGGCAGGATCCACTTCAATGGTGGGGGAAGGGACGCCTTGTATGTATAGGTTATAGGTATAGGTATGGATATGGCAGGTTGGCTGGCTGTGGTATATAGGTTTTGGATAGTGTTGCTGAGTAAGAACTAGAGGCCTAGGGTGTTTTCTTTTAGTTGCTGTGATTAGAAGTGCTATTGGTATTATTGGTGTTGGTATTGATCGTATTGTTTTATTGCTTCTTTGACTGCGAATTAAAGAATGCTGGTCGGTCTTTGCGTAGGTCACCACTGCAATGGTAGGGGGGGACGCCTTATATAGAGAGGATGATATTTCTAAGCTCTCCTTGGTGGGAGAAGTCTAGAAGTAAATCCAGGTCCAGGTCCAGGTCCAAGCTCAAGCTTACGTCCAAATCCAAGTCGAGGTCCAAGTTCAGGTTCAAGTTCACGTCCAAATCCAGGTCTAAGTCTAGCTTTCAGCATTTACGTAGTAAGTCCAGCGTCCAAGTTCAGCGTCAAAGTCTAAGAACAGTTTTAGCAACAGCTTTAGCATCGGCAACGGCAATAGCAGTAGCAATAGCAACTGGTCTAGATCTCGGGTCTAAGAATCAAGAGAAAAGAAGAAATGAGTATATTTCTTCTTTCGAACACTGATGTTCTTTTATACTAGCTTCAACTTCAGCGCTAGGTTCAAGTCTAGGTCCAGCTTCAGGTCTAGGTCTAGGTTTGTGTCTAAGTCCAAGTCTAGCTTTAATTCTAGCTTTATCTTTAGCTTTAGCATCTAGCAATGAATCTAGATCTAAATCTAAATCCAGATATAGCAGCTTCAGCTTTAAGTTTAAATCTAAGTCGAAGTTCCGCCTTAAGTCCAGGTCTAGGTTTAGCATTAGGTCCAGGTGCAGGTGCAGGTCTAAGCCTAAGTCTAGGTCTAGATCTAGGTCAGCGTTTAGCAATCACTTCTCGCTCTGGCAATAGATCTAGGTCTAGCTCTTAGGCCTAGCTCTAGCGCCCAGCTCTAGGTCTTGCTTGAGACTTAAGTCCGGCTCTAGGTCTAGGTCCAGGTCTAGGTCTGAGTCCAGCTCCAGATCTAGATATAGCATTGGCTTTAGCCTTAAGTGCAGGTCCAGGTCCAGGTCTAGGTCTAGCTCTTAGGCCCAGATCCAGCGCTTAGCTCTAGCGCCCAAGTCCAGCTCCAGGTCCAAGTCTAAGTCTAAGTCCAGGTCCAGATCCAGATCTAAATCTAGCACTAGCTTCAGCTCCAAGTCCAGGTCCAGGTCTAAGTCTAGGTTTAAGTCCAGATTCAGGTCCAGGTCCAGGTCCAGGTCCAGGTCCAAGTCTAAGTCTAAGTCCAGATCTAGGTCCAGGTCTAAGTCCAAGTCCAGGTCCAGGCCAAGATCCAGATCCAGCATTAGCTTCAGCTTGAAGTCCTAGTCCAAGTCGAGGTTCGGCTTTAAATCCTCGTCTAGGTCCAAGTCCAAGTTTAAGCCCAGGTCTAAATCCAAATCCAGATCCAGATTAAAATCCATTTCTAAGTCCAGCTTTAGCTTCAGCTCTAGCTCAAGTATCTAGCAATAAATCTAGATCCAGATCCAGATCTAGCTTTAGCATCTAAACCCCTTTTGAATACCGAAACGAAAAATCAAGCCGTAAAGAGGCCCCACCTAAGCGAGCCGACGATTACAAGCTCGCAAAGCGGGGCGGATCTATAAGGCTTGGCTAATGTAATCTGCAAAATTTAGGTTTGCACGATTTGGCTGGTTTACAAAGCCCGCAGGTTTGGTACTTAGCTGCTTGCTTTTTAAATGAGTGCATGTATAGAGGCTGCAGGGATTTAAGAGAGAATAAGCATAGCTGCGCAGCTGTAAGATGCACTCTTGTACTACAACATGTGCTGATATGCTGCGGTGCCGTTGACCTTTTTGTGAAGGAGACGTAGATGCTATAGGCCGAGGGCGTGGAAATTCAGCTAGACTTTGGAACGAAGCATTTCTCTCTTTTTTTCTCTTTCTCTTTTTTTTTTTTTTTTTTTTTTTTTTTTTTTTTTTTAGTAAAAGACTTTGCAAGCTGCAGCTCAAACTGACTTGCAATAATCGATTCAGGAGATTTAGATTTATTTAAATTACAACATCGATGTGGTTGTAGTTATTAAATCTGACTCACCTTGCTGCTGCTGTGCTGTGCAAGATCGATAAGAAGAGGTGTGAGAGCAGGAGCAGGTTTGTCGAATAATCACGTCTTTCTTTACTTTATGCTGTTTCCCGTCCTTCTTTCTCCTTCCCATGCATCTACCTATGCCTCCGTTTATTTCCGTTTGTTTGTTTGCTTACTTCTCCACTTGCTTCACTTTTCCTCTTTGTCCGCCCGCGTATCTACACCCACTTAAACAAAACAAATACCTTAACAAACAAACAAACAAACAAAGCAGAGCAGAGCTCAAACACTTTCTTATCTCCGTTATCTTAAATTCTCATCTATCCATTCCTTCGTGGATTACTTACTTACTCGCTTACTTACCATTCATTTACTTGCTTACGCTTGAAGAAGATATCGATCGCCGGCTCTCTCTCATCCACCCCCCGTTTGTCTGTCTATCGCTGATCAAAATCTGGATATCGCGATGGATTTCTCGAATGCAGGATATCCTGTGAGTACTTCGTAGATAATGCCTACTTGCTTATATACATACCCACTGACTTGCCTGCGCTCATGTTGTGGCGTTTTTGTTTGGTTTTGTTTCGTTTGGCTGGTTGTTTCTATCTATTTTTGATGAGGTGGAGGCTTACTCACCTCTCGCTATCCAGACCATCATGTCCCACCCCCTCGGCACCTTTACCGCCCACCATCCATTAAACTGGTCCCCAGCCCAAATCGACACCCTCACCGAATTCCAATTCTCGCACCCTATCTTCCTTTCCTACGTCCGCAAGCAGCAGCAGCAGCAGCAGCAGCAGCAGCAACTCCACGGCGGCGCCAGCGGCGGCGGCGCCACGAAGAAGGCCATCGACTTCACCGACCTCACAATCCCTCCCGCGCTCTTGCACGACTTGGGCTTCACCCTTCTCACGGCGACGACGACCAATTTCGTCGGCGAGCGCATCTTGCCGATTGTGGAGACGGGGGTGAGAGATGTGCTGGGTAGGATGTGGCGGGAGACGTCGGGGATGATTCGGGCGTCGAGCCAAGGACCGCGGACTGCGCAGCAGATGGCCAAGAAGGAAGAAGCAGCCGACGATCATTTCACTCTATCCAGTGCGCGGGACTATACCATGGGCAATTACTACGGCGGCAAGACGGACGGCAGCGGTGGCGGTGGTGGAGCGGACAAATTGTGGTTTGCTGGCTATGGTCACGGCAAGGTCGGCGAGAGCTCGCGACAGCTTCGATCGAGTGGGTCGGCGAAAGAAGAGGCTTATACGTTGTGGCAGGCTCAGGCGAAGGGGAATGGGATGGAAGAGAAAGGAGAGAAGAAGGGAAAGATGGAAGAGAAAGGAGAGAAGAAGGGAAAGGTGGAGGAGGAGGAAGAAGTGGAAGAAGAAGAGGCGCTGCTGGCGGAGAATCTGGCAGAGAATGCGGCTTTGGATCAGCAGTTGAGCGAGATGGTTGCCCGTATTAAGATGATGGGTTGATATGGGAAAGAAAAAGGACCGGACGGAGTTGTCTTAGGGGATTGGGTTAAGATTATGGAAAATGATGATGATGATGATGATGATGATTACAATGATGATGATGATGGTGCTGTTGATGGTGCTGATCGTTCTACTGCTGCTGCTAGTGCTGATGCTGGAGCAGTTTCTATTGCTCTTGCTGTTGCTGTTGCTGGACCTGGACCTGGACTTGTTGGTGGATACTGAATGCTGATTTCGATGCTGGACTTGA